CAAAAAGAGTGTAACTCAGAAAAAACATAGGTAACATATTTTTCGATCGAAAGTGTTTATTAAAGTTAAATTAAAGTCGAATACTGACGATTTTTTCCGCAGTAGACAATTTTATTCAATACTGCAACAATACTATTTTTTATATACATACTGCAACAACAAGAAAGTTATAACACATCAAAAACTTTAACGCCAATATCTCAGAAAGTAGCTTTAACAGAAGAGCCTCATTCTAAGTCCTCAATTATTGGAGATAAAACAAAGACAAGTTGATATTCCTGGTTATTTTTTTTAATTTTAAACGGACTTTCAATAAAAAGCAAACACCCTTTTTTGCTAATTTTTACATTCGTAAGTTATTTTATACTAGGTGGTTGTGTGATAATTACGTTAGCATTCCTTAGTGGTGGTCAAACCTCAGGAAGGTTTTGCTCCCTCGCATCACAATGTTTTTTACACAGGGTAAAAGTTCTCCCCTTTAATAAAAATTATTATTATTTTTCATTACAATCGGTTCTCCTTAGAAAAATTTGGCCATTTTAATTAAATTTAATTTAATTTTAACCATCTATAAGACATTTTTAAAAACCTCAGACCTTCTTCTGTTCGCCCATCCATCAGCGCCAGACACTCAACATTTTAATTTAAGTAGGAAGTAACGTAATTTAAATTTAAAACTAATTCAATGAATGAATTAAATAGAATTATAATCTGAATTGGCATGGCAAATGCCTAACACTGACGAGATGACATGATAGATTAGTAGCGTCATAGCTCTTTGGAATCTACCTAATCGACAGTAGCGGCGTTTCCAGACGCGCCGGCGTCGCCGCCGCCGCAAGGCCTGTCGGCGGTAACCTTTATTACATACCAGTTGCGATAATAAGATGGAGATTAAGTTATTTAAATAAAAGGGGGTAATAAGAATCAAAAATTTTGTACGCCAAAGTATGATAGACATTTTATTTTATTATATTATATATTATTTATAAATTAATTATATTTTTATAAATCATATGTTTTGGGTCATATGGTTTTGAGAAAAATACACCGTAGTAATTTTGAAATTTCAAAATTACATTTCTCGACTGAAAACTAAGATATTCGCGCTAACTCGACGGCGTACAGTGTGCTTTTTTAACACTTTATGCCAATTAATCGTAGCTCATTCGACAGAATCAATGTTCTAATATGAAACAAAATGGATTTGAAAGCTATTGCAACTGCCTTTCACGGAAAAGTATTGCCATTGAGCCACAATCACTAACTTAAACCTAAAAATAACTGGTCAAAAATAGTGTTCTTCAAACAAAAAAAAAAAAACATGCAACTCCAACGGATATTTAAAAAAAAAAAATTTTGTATTTTTATTATACTAATTTTATAGATTTTGAGACGAGAAACACGATTCCACTGTTTAAAAAACGAAAAAAAAAATTCAACACCTCAATTTGAAAAATGCATTGTCCACCGCGTGGGACACATCCAGTGCGGAGCCGCTCCTTGCTAGCTCGTCCGCTGCCTCGTTTCCGTAGATGCCCCTATGTCCCGGGATCCCATATTAGGCCAGCTCTCTCCTACATTCATCCACTAGCTGAGATCTAACAGATTTAGAAGAAAGTGCCTTAACAGCCGCTTGGCTATCCAAGAGGATGTTCACTTTCGTCCTCGCGGGTACATTCTCTTTGATGTAACTTGCTGCCTCCTTAATAGGAAACGTTTCGGCCTGTTGGGTATAAACAATTTGGAATGCCAACTCTTGAACAGGCCACGTATAGCTACCAATTCCAGTAATCTACCACAAATATTTCAAGAGATATACCAGATGAAAATTTTTGTTAGTATAGGTGGTGCCACGCCCCCTTTTCCGTATTCGGGGAACTTAACACAAACCATCTGCATAATAGCCCGACTATGCCGTATAAATTTGGTTGAAATCTTGCACTTATTTTGTACATATAAGATGGGAGGTGCCACGCCCTCTTTTCCAATACCGCCCATTTTTCTCCATGAGTATGGAATTATTTGATATACTTCTATACCAATTTCCAGTACTCTACCACAAATATTTCAAGAGATATACAACATAAAAATTTCTGTTAGTATGGGAGGTGCCACACCCCCTTTTACGATTTCGGAAAAACTTCACAAAAACCATCTGCATGATAGCCTGAATATGTCGTATAAATTTGGTTAAATTCGGTGAAGCCGTTCTCAAGTTATAAGCTAACTCACTAATTTTTATATATAAAATAGAGGTTCCACGCCACCTTTTCCGAATTCAAGCAAACTCCACATAAACCATCTGCATGATAGGCCGAATACGCCGCATAAATTTGGTTGAATTCGGTGAAGCCGTTCTCAAGTTATAAGCTAACTCACTAATTTTTATATATAAAATAGAGGTTCCACGCCACCTTTTCCGAATTCAAGCAAACTCCACATAAACCATCTGCATGATAGGCCGAATACGCCGCATAAATTTGGTTGAATTCGGTGAAGCCGTTCTCAAGTTATAAGCTAACTCACTAATTTTTATATATAAAATAGAGGTTCCACGCCACCTTTTCCGAATTCAAGCAAACTCCACATAAACCATCTGCATGATAGGCCGAATACGCCGCATAAATTTGGTTGAATTCGGTGAAGCCGTTCTCAAGATATGAGGTCACACCAAAAACGTGCACTTATCTAATATATAAAAATAAGTGCACGTTTTTGGTGTGACGTCATAACTTGAGAACGGCTTCACCGAATTCAACCAAATTTATGCGACATATTCGGGCTATCATGCAGATGGTTTGTGTGAAGTTTGCTTGAATTCGGAAAAGGCGGCGTGGCACCACCCATACTATCTAAAATATAAAAATAAGTGTACGTTTTTGAATTGAACATATAACTTGAGAACGGCTTCACCGAATTCAACCAAATTTATGCGGCATATTCGGGCTATCATGCAGATGGTTTATGTGAAGTTTGCTTGAATTCGGAAAAGGGGCGTGGCGCCTCTATTTTATATATAAAATTATTGAGTGAGCTTATAACTTGAGAACGGCTTCACCGAATTCAACCAAATTTGTATAGCATATTCGGGTTATCATGCATATATTTTACATGAAGTTTGCCCAAATTTGGAAAAGGGGGCGTGGCATATGTATCTTATGTATAAAAATAAGTACACGTTTTGGTGTGAGCTTATAACTTCGGAAAGGCTTCACCGAATTCAACCAAATTTATACGGCATATTCAGGCTATCATGCAGATAGTTTATGTGAAGTTTGCCCGAACTCGTAAAAGGGGGTGTGGCACCTCCCATACTAACTAAAATTTTTATATTATATATCTCTTGAAATATTTGTAGTAGAGTACTGGAAATTGGTATATAGGTGCATATATCAAATACATAATTCCATACTCATGGAGAAAAATGGGCGGTATAGGAAAAGACGGCGTGGCACCCCCCATCTTATATAAAAAAAAAAAGCGCAAGATTTCAGCCAAATTTATACGGCATAGTCGGGCTATTATGCAGATGGTTTGTGTTAAATTTCCCCGAATTTGGAAAAGGGGGCGTGGCACCACCCATACAAAAAAAAAATTTCATCTGGTATATCTCTTGAAATATTTGTGTTAGATTACTGGAAATTGGTATAGAGACATATGAATATCATGGAGAAAAATGTGCGGTATTGGAAAAGGGGGCGTGGCACCTCCCATCTTAAATAAAAAAATAAGTGCACGAATTCTACCAAATTTAAACGGTATATTCGGACTATAATGCAGATGGGTTATGCGAAGTGTGCCCGAATTCGGTCCAGCGGTTTATGGTATATGACAGTTTATGTCTGTCGCAAGAACCACGTACAACAGTAGATACATGAAAAATCGAAAAAATATTGAAAAATTGTTGCTATGATGTGCTGTGTTTATTTTTTGTTCGGATAAATTAAGTCAAGTATAAACATGGCTGCAATATAGTAAAAAAAAAATCATATAGAAAAATTCCAGGATCTTTCATTCATTTTTCAATATTTTTCAATATTTAGTGTAGAGAAGCACACCGGGGTACCGCTAGTCTTATATATAAAAATAAGTGCACGTTTTTGGTGTGACCTCTTAACATGAGAACGGCTTCACCGAATTCAACCAAATTTATGTGGCATATTCGATCTATCATGCAGATGGTTTATGCGAAGTTTTCCCGAATTCGGAAAAGGGGGCGTGGCACCATCCATACTAACTAAAATATAAAAATAAGAGAACGTTTAGTTGTGACCATATAACTTGAGAACGGCTGCACCGAATTCAACCAAATTTATGCGGCATATTCGGACTATCACGCAGATAGTTTATGTGAAGTTTTCTTGAATTCGGAAAAGGGGACGTGGCGCCTGTATTTTATGTATAAAAATTAGTGAGTTAGCTTATAACTTCAGAACGGCTTAACCGAATTCAACCAAATTCATAAAGAATATTCGGGCCATCATGCAGATATTTTATGTGGAGTTTGCCCATATTTGGAAAAGGGGGCGTGGCATATGTATCTTATGTATAAAAATAAGTACACGTTTTTGGTGTGAGCTTATAAATTGATAACGGCTTCACCGAATTCAATCAAATTTATACGGCGTATTCAGTCTATCATCCAGATGGTTTATGTGAAGTGTGCCCGAATTCGTAAAAGGGGGTGTGGCACTTCCCATACTAACAAAAATTTTTATGTTGTAGTAGCGGTACCCCGGTGTGCTTCTCTACACCAAATATTGAACAATGTATGAAAAATCCTGGAATTTTTCTATATGAAGACTTATCATTTGTTTTATTTGAAAATTTTTGATTCTTCATTTAAAATCTTAATCCAACACATTTGGATATACAACATTTTTTGTTTTTCCATTTTGGGTAAGAATAAATAAACAATTTGGAATGCCAACTCTTGAACGGGCCACGTATAGCTGCCCATGCGAAAAGCACGGCTCCTCCAAATTCCATCCGCATACTTGAAGAGTTTGTCCTTGCGCCTTGTTGACGGACATGGCAAATGCTAGACGCACTGGGAATTGCAAACGCTTGAATTCAAACGTCATGTCTGTTGTTATCAGTGGAATACGCGGTATGAGCACAATTTCACCTTTCCCTTTGCCAGTCAGTATTGTTGCTTCAACTAAATTCGCCATCAATTTTTTTACTGCCAGTCTTGTGGCATTACACAGTTTTAGAGCATTTAAATTCCGTAGTAAAATAATTGATGAGCCGACCTTTAAATTCAAACAATGTGGTGGCATACCAGGTGGTTCCAGTGAATTCAAAAATTCAACTGGATAATTCACTTCGTCATCTTGATTCATTGCGCTATCAACAGATTTATACGTTGTCACTTCACCTGGCAATTTTTCTAGAATTTGATAATTGATTGAATTGACATGCACATTTTTTGGTGCCAGTATTGCGCGTTCTCTCAACGAATCGTGATCCAGGTAATTTTGAGCAATATTTGGAAACACGCGTTCAAAACATTTTTCTTTTAATTGGAGAATTGTACAAAAATTCTTCGGCAATGTAATCAAGTCATTTGTATTATCGATTCGAACTTTGCCATTTCCGATCTCTAACAATTGCCACGAGAACCGATCTTCAGAATGAATATTGTGCAACTGAACACGCATGTTTATGTGTAATGTGAATTTTTGCACATATCGCCACAGAGGGGAAGACTTCAAGCACGCATTGATCTCATCTGCCGGTATTGATCGTGGAATCACGGGCAATATTTGTCGAAAGTCACCTGACAATAATACCAAAGCACCACCAAAAAGCTGTTGATTTCCACGTAAATTCTGCATTGTGTTGATTCTCCAAAGTCCAAAATAGAAACAGCGAATATCAATGTACACCTATACACCTATTCGATAATACGATGAAATGACAGATATGTTGTGTTGTGGTGACTTTCATTCCATTGGCTCTACAAAATCCCCATTGAAAAACTTGCAGACATGTTTACATTTGACTTAATTTATCCGAAGAAACAATAAACACAGCACATTATAGGAACAATTTTCCACTACGTTTTCAAACTTTTCGTACGAAATGAAGCAACAAATTTGTGCAAAATTATTGAAATAAATTCAATTGATTATTATATTGATTTTTTTGAGCTCAAGGCCGGGTTGAAATAAAACAATCTGTTTTTGTTGTTATACCTTTCATGAGCATGAAATGGTATTATAACTTTGGTCCGATGTTTGCAATTACCAGAATAAGAAGAGATAAACCCATTAAAATGTATACTTAAATGATCAGAACGGCGAGCTGAGTCGATTTAGCTATGTCCGTCTGTCTGTCTGTTCGTCTGTTTGTATGCAATCTAGTCTCTCAGTTTTCGAGAAATCCGGATCAAATTTGGTAGGTAGGTGTATTCTTATAATGTGTTATTCATTTGTCGGAACCGGAAGAATCGGACCACTATAACATATAGCTCCCATACAACTGATTGTTCAGATATGAGATTTTTCGTTATAACTTCTCCATTTATGCAGCTAGGAACATGACATTTTGCAATACTTCCACCCATTATTAACAGAAAACTTAGAGTGAAAATTACAAAGATCGAGTCACTATAACCTATAGCTCTCATACAACTGATTGTTCAGATATACGATTTTTCGTTATAACACCTCCATTTAAGTAGCTAGGCACATGAAATTTTGACTGTTGTCACTCATTGTCAAAAGAATACTTTCAGTGAAAATGGCGAAGATCGGGTCGCTATAACCTATATCCACCATACAACTGATTGTTCAGATATAAGATTTTTGCCATAACTTCTTCATCGCATCAACATAAAAACAACATCAAAATTCGCACCGTTTTCAATCATTATTAACAGAATACTTACGGTGAAAATAACAAAGATCGGGTCACTATAACATATATCTCCCATACAACTGATCGTTCATTATCAACAGAAAGTATACAGTAAAATTAACAAAGATCGGATTACTATAACCTGTTTATTGCCCCCATACAACTGATTGTTCAGATATAAGATTTTTGCCATAACTTCTTCATCGCATCAACATAAAAACAACATCAAAATTCGCACCGTTTTCAATCATTATTAACAGAATACTTACGGTGAAAATAACAAAGATCGGGTCACTATAACATATATCTCCCATACAACTGATCGTTCATTATCAACAGAAAGTATACAGTAAAATTAACAAAGATCGGATTACTATAACCTGTTTATTGCCCCCATACAACTGATTGTTCAGATGTGGGGTTTTACTGTAACACTCCTTTATTTGGACAGCTAAAACCGATAAATTTCTTAAGTTATTTTATAAATAATAATACAAAGTCTACTGAGAAAATCGTCAAAATGTATGCTATATGAGCTTTATCTCTTATACCACTGATTGTTCAGATACCAGTCTTTGCGATATATGTATCTGCTTTATGTAGGAAGCTAAACCCATTAAATTGTGTTACCGGTTTACATACCGATCACACAGCAATGAAAATCACTTAGATTGGTGCTATATAAGGTATATCTTCCATACCCCTGATTGTTTAGATATGCTATTTTATATATGTATGTATGTAATATATTAATTTTTTCAAATGCAGTAATCCGTTAAAGTAATATTTTNAGCCTTCGGGATAACCGAAGACAGCGCTGCTCTTACTTGTTTAATACTAAGGATTTTTTATTGGTTGTATGGAGGTAATAAACAGGTTATAGTGACCCGATCTTTGTTCATTTTACTGTAAACTTTCTGTTGATAATGAGTGAAACTATTGCGAAATTGCATGTTTCTAGCTGCATAAATGGAGAAGTTCTAACGAAAAATCTCATATCTAAACAATAAGTTGTATGGAGGCTATAGGTTATTGCGACCCGATCTTCGCCATTTTTATTGTAAATATTCTTTTGATAATGGGTGAAAATATTGCGAAATTTCNACTGAGAAAATCGTCAAAATGTATGCTATATGAGCTTTATCTCTTATACCACTGATTGTTCAGATACCAGTCTTTGCGATATATGTATCTGCTTTATGTAGGAAGCTAAACCCATTAAATTGTGTTACCGGTTTACATACCGATCACACAGCAATGAAAATCACTTAGATTGGTGCTATATAAGGTATATCTTCCATACCCCTGATTGTTTAGATATGCTATTTTATATATGTATGTATGTAATATATTAATTTTTTCAAATGCAGTAATCCGTTAAAGTAATATTTTCAGATGTTCATGAAAGGTATGAAGCCTTCGGGATAGCCGAAGACAGCGCTGCTCTTACTTGTTTAATACTAAGGATTTTTTATTGGTTGTATGGAGGTAATAAATAGGTTATAGTGACCCGATCTTTGTTCATTTTACTGTAAACTTTCTGTTGATAATGAGTGAAACTATTGCGAAATTGCATGTTTCTAGCTGCATAAATGGAGAAGTTCTAACGAAAAATCTCATATCTAAACAATAAGTTGTATGGAGGCTATAGGTTATTGCGACCCGATCTTCGCCATTTTTATTGTAAATATTCTTTTGATAATGGGTGAAAATATTGCGAAATTTCATTTTCCTATCTACATAAATGGAGGAGTTATAACGAAAAATCTTATATCTGAACAATCAGATGTATGGGAGCTATAGATTATAGTGACCCGATCTTTGTAATTTTCACTTTAAGTATTCTGTTGATAATGGGCGGAAGTATTGCAAAATTGCATGTTCCTAACTGCTTAAATGGAGGAGTTATAACGAAAAATCTCATATCTGAACAATCAGTTGTATGGGAGCTATATGTTATAGTTGTCCGATTATTCCGGTTCCGACATATGATTAGTGCATTTTAAAAATACACCCACTTACCAGATTTCATCCGGCTACCTCGAAAACTGCATACAAACAGACGGACATGGCTAAATCGACGAAGCTCGACGTTCTGATCACTTAAGTATACATTTCAATGGGTCTATCTCTTCAAATTGTGGTACTTACAAACATCGGACCAAAGTTATAGTACCATTTCGTGTTCATGAAAGGTATGCAAATAGGGGTATACTTTTTCTCGATATAGAACAATCCTAGGGGGTGAGGACATTACAATTCCGACTTTACAGTGTACATAAGCATGCCTTGTAGAACTTTTTTTTAAGTCAAATCGATGCACATTCGGTTTAAAAAAATAAGAATAACTGCTATTTTTGATCGAAAAAATTAAAATCATAGTATGACGATTAAAAATCATCGAAAAAATAAAAATCACAAAATAACGATTAAAAATTATCGAAAAAATAAAAATCATAAAATAACGATTAAAAATGATCGAAAAAATAAAAATCATAATATAAAGATTCAAATTTATCGAAAAAATAAAAATCATAAAGTAACGATTAAAAATAATCGAAAAAATAAAAATCACAAAATAACGATTAAAAATGATTGAAAAAATAAAAATCAAAGAATAACGATTATTTTTGATTGTAAAAATATAGATCATAAAATAACGATTATACAATGATTTTTAAATAAAAATCCTTCATGATAACGATTATTTTCGGTCCCTGCTTTTTATACATAGGGCCCATTATGCTTAACTACATGCATACATACATACAAATTATCTTATCTGTACTTTTTTATTTGTACTTTTTGTATTTTTAGGCGATTTCATTTAAAAAAGATATAAGCATCGGCGTAGTCAGAATGAAATTTAGGGGGGGCTCGACCCTATTAAGCTGGCATTTCAGGGTACTCTTTTATATATATATAAGGAAAATTTGAAAGTTAGGGGGGGCTCGAGCACCCCCCAGCCCCTACCTGGCTACGCCCATGGATATACGCATATATGTAATACTTCTATATTGCTAGTACATTCAAAGTACATTCCCCAACATCAGAGTGCCGAAATATTGAAAAAAAGAGAGTTCCGATTAGAGAATGTACTCAAAATGACAATTTTACTTTTCAAAACTCAGGAGCGGTTTCACAAATTTTTATTTAAAAACAACTCTTATGAAAAATTAACAAAAAGTAAAATTTTTGTAAATTTATGAGAAGCGCTGCGGCCGTTGGTGGTGGCAGAGGATAAGAATACCAGTTAGAGAAGGACTTGGCATCAGTTGGCATTTCCAATTGGCGTCAATCAGCATAGAAGGGAATCGAATAACGTGCTTTATTGGATTCGGCCAACATATAAAATACCACACCGCTTTATGTGTAAATAAGTTTTGTCTTTATTAAGAAAAGATCTTCTATCTTCAAATTTTTCAGATTTCCAAATAACGAGGAGCATCGGAGAAATTCGTCATACCGAGCCCTAACCGCTAAAATAATGTATATATATATCAAGGCGAATTTATATAAGGTGGTGTTGTTTCATCAGCTGTGAGTAGCGTTTGATTGTCGAAATTTTGTATTTCGCTAGTGAGTAAGTGAAAACGTGAGAGCGTTTGTATTTTCTGTCGCCCTTTTTGTTGTAAAGTGGCCTTTCCACTTTAATTAACTGGAATTAACCTTTACGCTAGGAACTGTGGAGTCCTTGTGCTCCGCCGGCGCGGCTGCCGGCCAACGTTCCATTTGATGGAGCCCTAGCGCTCCGCTGGGGGTGCTGTACAAAACCGGTGAATGGTGGGGCCTTAGCGCTCCGCTGGGGTGCTGCATGAACGCCGGTAATTTAATAACTTACGAGGTGCTACTTCGGTACTTTGGTGCTCCTTAGGTGCTATAGCACCGACCGGTGCGAAACTCACCAAAATGCACCTGCTGGGCGCTAGTTGACCGGCTTCAAATTAATTATAAATGACGAGTTGACTTTTCGGTC